GCCGGGAACGCCATCTGTGTCGGGAACATTGAGTGTGGAGTAGGAGGGTGGGTGGCGGGCACCACCAAGCTCCCGGGATACAGTGCAATATTCCTAATTGGTTTTAGTCTTAGTATCATTTTTTTCATGTCCCCGTCATAAGCTAGGGTGTACTAGTATATATTTATCTCTCTCCGTCTGTGTTTTAGAGCGTCCGTCCGTCCGTGTTTTAGAGCGTCCGTCCGTGTTTTAGTTCGTCTGTCCATGTGTGGATCTGTCCGTCTCGATCTTGTGAACTCAATATCCTCTGACTGGGGTGACTGGATACTGATCAAATTAGTGCTACATACACACTCCAACTCATTAGTAATTAGAGGTCAAAGGTTAAAGGTTAAGATCACACATGTGCTAAAATGCTGCAAATTACTCACTTTCCACAGGTGTTCATCTAATTGGCATACCTGTCCTCTTTGACCCATACAGCATTTCTTGTCTCGAGTGGATGGGTGTATGTGGATGGGTATGTGTGTGGGAGGTGTATGTGTGGGTGGGAGGTGTATATGTGGGTGGGAGGTGTATGTGTGGGTGGGAGGTGTATGTGGGTGTATGTGGGTGGGAGGTGTTTATGTGGTGGATGTGTGGATGGGAGGTGTATGTGTGGGTGGGAGGTGTATATGTGGGTGGGAAGTGTATGTGTGGGTGGGAGGTATAAATGTGGGTGGGAGGTGTATATGTGGGTGGAGGTGTATCATAGGTGGGAAGTTGTAAACATATAAGAAAAAACAATATATATTAACTATTTTATATTAACCATAACTTCATTTAAAAACTCATTCATATTTTAGTAAAAGAAAAAGAAAAAACACCTCTTTTCCCCAGTCTACCAAAATACTTTCATTAAAACCTTGTTAAAAATAATAGATTCAATAGGTTTTCAGAATAAATATTTACGTATTTTGATGTTTAATGAGAGTTATGTGCAAGAGAGAGGTAGAGAGAGTAGCGGTGCGAGGGAGAGGGAGAGAGTGAGAGAAAGGTGCGAGAGAGAGGAAAATTGGATAAAGAGGGAGTGAAAGTTGGATAAGGCGAGGAGTGGGGGAGAGAAGAGAGTAAAGGAGAGTGGGAGGGAGGAAAATAGCGAAGGGGAGAGGGAATGTGAGAGTATGAAGAAGAGGTTAAGGAAGGGGAGGGAGTGAGAGTGGAGGAGGAGAGGGAGGGAGGAAGGAGAGGCTGAAAGGGAGTAGGTGGGGAGAGTGAAGTAGAGAGAGAGAGAGATAGAGAGAGTAAGGAGAGGGAGAAAATGAGAGTTAGGAAGGTAGGAGAGAAGAGAGAGAGAGAGGGAAGAGAGAGGCGCATGGGAGAGAGTGAGAGTGTGGGGGAGGGGAGGGGAGGAGGGAGAGATGCAATGGATCGATAGGATGCGTCTGCTGCCTGGGAGAGTGGAGGGGAGGGGGTGAGAGGAGGAGAGAGAGAGTAGGAGAAAGCAGATGAGTGAGGTGAGATGAGAGTAAGGTCAGGAAATAGTAGAAGGGAAAGTAAATAAGAAGAAACGAGAGGAGACGTGAGAGTAATGAAAGGAAAAGGGATGAGGAAGAAAGGAAAGAGAGAGTAGAGAAAGTAGTTGAGGTGAGAGAAGAGAATGAGAAAGAGAAGGGAAATAATTTTATAATAAAGGTTTAAAAGATAATAATTTTCCCCCAAGAGAAGTAGTAGTAAGGGATGGGTTATATTATTATTATTATTATTATTATTATTATTATTATTATTATTATTATTATTATTATTACTCTCATGTAATAAGTATCGGTAATAGGGAGATGCGTTGAGCCACAGTTACTATTTATAACGACAATCAAGCAATCAGTTACCAAGATAATTTACATGAAACTGTTAACGAACGAACGTAAACAAAGAACTAACGTACAAACTGACAACCGGGGAACGTAACGCCTCAAGCTGCCACCAGTGTCACAAATATTGAAATATTTTTGATGTCAGTGGCGGTGTCAGGTGTCAGTGGTTGTGTCAGATTTTAATTTCCGTATCAGAGGCTCTTTTAGGAAATATATGTCATCAGCTACTCAAAAGGTTCGTATGATGGATATTACCTCTCCATTGAAGGGTGTAGACTCGCTCTCTCTCTCTCTCTCTCTCTCTCTCTCTCTCTCTCTCTCTCTCTCTCTCTCTCTCTCTCTCTCTCTCTAAACAAGCGTAAATGCAACAGCAACACATGAACCTATATCTTACTATCTATCTCTCTGTCGGTGTGTCTCTTTAGTCCAACATCAACACAAACATCGCGTCTCCTCTCCCACAAGGCGGCCTCAGCGCTACTGTGTCTCTAACGTCATATTTATCATCTAATATGACCGTCCCTGGAGTCCCCTTCTCGCCGCACTGCAAACAAATGGTGAAAGATTTGTCTCAGGAAGTGCAGGTCGTTCTTCTTGGGGAAAAGTTATCGTACGAGGAAGCATGACATTGTTGTACCAAAGATAACAAGTTGTCGTATGAGGGAAATATTATCGTACAAGAATAAATAGTAGTAAATATGAGGATAATAAGATGTCATACGAGCCTAAGTAATTGTCTTGAAGAGAGAGAGAGAGAGAGAGAGAGAGAGAGAGAGAGAACTAATCGAAAGAGAGGGAGGGAGAGAAAGGGGCATAGAGTGACCTAGGTTATTGATGAGGCGAGGTCAAAGGTCGAGCGTGGCGGCCACACCCAGTGAATTACACAACACAGGAAGACCAGCTGATGGAGTGATGGATGGATAGATGGAGTGATGGATGGGTGGATGGATGGATGGATAGATGGAGTGATGAATGGATAGATGGAGTAATGGAGTGATGGATGGATAGATGGAGTGATGGATGGATAGATGGAGTGATGGATGGATGGATGGATGGATGGATAGATGGAGTGATGAATGGATAGATGGAGTAATGGATGGGTGGATGGAGTGATGGATGGATAGATGGAGTGATGGATGGATAGATGGGGTGATGGATGGATGGATGGAGTGATGGATGGATGGTGATGGAGATGGATGGATGGATGGATGGATGGATAGATGGATAGATGGGTGAGTGGATGGATGGAGATGGAGTGATGGATGGGTGGATGGAGTGATGGATGGATATATGGAGTGATGGATGAATAGATAGATAGATATGTGGACAGTTTCAATGAATGAGTGAAAAATATGAATATAGACAGGGATAGATAGATAGATAGATCTGCAAGTATATGGGTGGACAGACGGACAGACAAAGAGACAGAAAGATAAACACACACACACACTGGGAACAAAATACTCCAAACTTTCTTTTCGTGTCCCCAAAACAAACTTTTCCCGCCTGAAATAAAGAAAGTATCTACCAAACCAAATTAGTTACTTTTATCTCCGAAGGAAAAGTATAAATTTTATTATATCCCCAGGAAATTAACTTAATACTTTCACTTACTTTACAGGGAGAACAGGGAATAAGAAGGTAATAGTTTACTTACTTAATAGGGGAAAAGTAATAGTTTGACTTATAGAGAGGTAAGGTAAAAGTTTCAATTATAGAGAGGTAAGGTAAAAGTTTCAATTATAGAGGTAAGGTAAAAGTTTCAATTATAGAGAGGTAAGGTAAAAGTTTCAATTATAGCAAGGTAAAAAGTTTCATTTCCCTTTTGACCTCCGTGCGCTTTAAACAAGGGGAGTGACACCATTTATTTCCTTCCCTATAAGAGACGGGTTCGAGATGGTCCATACACGATGAAAACATAATACCTCGATAAACAAAGATTCAAAACGTGGAGTCACTATATTAGGACTTGGTGACTCACTATAAGGACCTGGTAGACTCACTAGTGACTCGACTATTGATTGTTTTTATGTTGGTTTAAAATAACTCGTTTACAAAGATCACTAATTTGATTTAAGTGGTTCCCTGTTGACCAGACACAACAGGTATGTATTTACGAATGGCGGTACTAATTGGCTGGTTTAATTTGACCCTTATGCTAAATAATAAACACGTCTTTGTCACTGTAAATGTACAAAAAGTCTCCAAAATATGAATGATAATAGTATAGGCTTAAAAAAAAACACGAGGGAAATTTGCATAAGTGAGAAACTAATTTTGTTTTTTATTTCGCACGTATTGAGATGCAAATATACTCCGCCACAGTTGTCACCATAGTGGATTAGGCAACCAGACGCCGCCGTTCGCCTCTCTACACCACCCATATGCCTGTGTGTTGTCGATTGAATTATTTAGCAACTAATCGGTGTGTAACATCTGGCTTTCCGTATATTATGAATATTAAATTAACTCTTTCCTCTATTGTTAATATGTCTGTAATCTTTGTTAATTTATTATTCCCTTCACTTGAAAAAATACAAGAATGTGATTGTTTTTTCTATGCTGAAGTGTAAGAGAATCATTGCTGGAACGTTGCGTATTCTCGCTGTAAGCTAGAGTGGTATGTTAAAGACTTTCAAAAATAATAATAATTCTGGTGATGTATAGCTCGTAATAATCTTCATCTTAATTTCTTGTTGTTTTGAGGGATTATCATCACAATTATTCCGAAGAGTGTAATTATTTTGATGTAATATAGCGGAAGTATCTTGTTACTCTACCGTCTCTCTTTCATCTCTTCCTTTGACACACACACACACACACACACACACACACACACACACACACACACACACTGGCCTGGATATTTTTCATAACGACACTAATCACCTTGACGTAATACATGAGGATGAGAGTGAGAGAAGAAGTATTAGTGAAAAAATTCGCTCGCGTCTGTAAGTTATAGGAAGAATAACATTCACGACTGTAGACACACCAACACACTCCCAGTATCACAACGTAGCGATCATGTGTGTGTGTGTGTGTGTGTGTTGCGTCTGTGCTTGTGTCTGGGTGTGCGTTCGTGCGTGCAAACTCGTGTGTCTGGCAGCGGGGGTGTGCCCATGTGTCGGGTCGGGGACTCGGGGTGTGTCGGCTGGCTCAGTGTGTGTTTTGGTGTGGATGAGAGACGAACGGACGCTCCTGTCTCTCTCATGGCTGACTTGACCCAAATTAAGCTCTAAAGGCAGGTAAGGTTGTTCCCCTTTACATTGTCTTACATATTTTTGATGGTATAAAATAATTAGTTATACGGTATTTGTAAGGCAGGAAGGCCGGTAGTGTTTTAAAGGGTTTGAACAGTAGACACGTTGGGCATTGCTGTCCAGTCATTTAAATTTCAGTTGACTTGCATCAAGTGTCAAAGCCTTTGGAGATATGAATCAAGGGGTTTCACTGTACTTTTTTGCGGAATAGAATATTGAAAACGTGGAGTCTTTCCCCCAACTCTTGTCTTAGGGCAACATTAATGAAATACGAGTGTTTAGGTAGAAATAGGAGTTGAAGAAGTTACTATTGTTCCGTAATAAAGTGAGATAGGCTTCATTATGAGCGAGTCGCTTTAATGAGAATCTCAATATTTGTGTGTAAAATCCTTCCTTACTTATTTAGCTTGTGTTAATTTCTATCACAAATCAACAAAGATAATTTAGTGTTAGGTTTTCGCCATATATGAAAGTTGTGTTTGTGTTGATTGTGGTGGTGATGGTTCGTATGGTAAACTTTACTACAGTGTTTGATATTTAAAGAGTTTATTTCTCGCTGCTTGAGTGAGAAGAAAAATTAAAACTTAGTGTGATATTCTTGTGTATTGGCAAATATTTTCATACCTAATTTGACGTAGCTCTTCCAGACGTTTTTCCCAATGAGCATATTTCAACTAGACAATTCCCCAGTGGGCAAATTCCTACCAGACAAGTTCCCCACTGGGCATATTCTTACCAGACAATTTCCCCCGTGGGCATATTCTTACCAGACAATTTCCCCCGTGGGCATATTCTTACCAGACAATTTCCCAACGTATAGTATTTCATAATCCCACCAGCTCCAGTATGTGCATGTCAGCATACTGTTAAGTTATAGGTTAGCAACACTAGGGTTAGTTTAAGGTAGGTTGGTGATATTGGGATAGGTTAGGGGAAATTAGTTCAAAGTTAGATTAGGTTAGTTAGGTCGAGGTTATATTAGGTTACGATAGTTATGTTAAGGTTAAATTTAATTACGATTGTTATGTTTAATTTAGGTTATGGTAGTTAAGTTAAGGTTTAATTACGATGGGGTAGAGTTATGTTAAAGTTAGGTTTGGGGAATGATGGATAACGGTTAGATTGGTAAGGATAGATTAGAGTAAGGATGGATCAAGGTTAGGGTAAGGAAGGATTGATTAAGGTTAGGTTAGGGAAAATAATGATTAGGTTCAAATTAGTGAAATGATAAGAGTGGCGGCAGAGGGTATGGTTGGCCCCACTGCTTCCACGTGTGCAGTATGCTGTATCCGTACCGCCTCTCACGGGTCGACAGGCCAATGGGACCCATTCTTAATTTCATGGTAAAGATTCATCAGGGTAAGGGGGAATCGTGGTTAAGTAAGGGTGGATAAAAGTTAAGATAAGGTTGGATTAAGGTTAGGGTGAGGATGGATCAGGGTTAGGATAAGGGTGGATTGGTGTTAGGGTTATCAGGGTTAAGGTAAGAGTGATCAAAGTTAGGTTACTGCAAGGGGAAGGTTAATGTTAGGGTAAGAGTGGATCAAGGTTAAGGTAATGGTGGATCAACGTGAGGTTATTACAAGGGAAAGTCAAGGTTAGGCTATTATAGGGGTGGATCAATAATGGAGCGAGAGTGGATCAAGGTTAGGTTAGTCAGCAAGTTGTGGTCTGTATACTATAGCCAGGTGTGGGCGTCAACAGGTGTAGGGGTAGAAGAGGACATTGAACTTGACGTGTGAGGAAGTGCGTACCTCACCTGCCACTCGTGTATAGGTAGTGTCGGGTTCTCTCTCTCTCTCTCTCTCTCTCTCTCTCTCTCACGAGGTAGGAGTATGAGTCACTAACAAGCCTAAACTCGCTAGACAGAGGTGAGGATGGCGGTCACTCACCCCTAGGGCCACTCAAGGCGCCGCCAATTTAGTGTCATTGATTCTAGTGACGCGGGGCATTAGTGGTGCTCCCTGCCTGTTGCCACTGTCTGTTGCTCCTTGACTTAGCACCACTTCATTTTACCTTACACTTGACGCGTAAACATTGAATTAATTGTCTGGATTCTCATTGGTTCGTAAGGTAGATATTTTCTTCCCCTGTAATTGGAGGATAAACGATACCTCGATTTACGGCCGAGTCTCAGTTCGATATTGACTTCATTCATGTTGTTAGGGGCGAGGTGATATGAGTGGAGGATACAGCACACGCCTCCTGTCCTAAGGGTCGTTGGTTCGATGTCGAGGCACTCCCAGTCCACCCAGCTTTAAATGGGTACCTAAGTTGACTGCGGCGGAAGTGAAGGCAGTTGAGTTGTAGTGCCGACCACCACGTTGTCTCTATTGCACCACACACCGAGGCGTTATTATATAGTGTGTATAGTACATTATTTTACCCCATGGAAGTATTAATTGAAGGAATGGGAAGTCGGAGCCTGAAAGATTATATTACGGTAAAATTTCTAGTTTGAGGGGGAGGGGGTGAGGGTTGAGTCTGGGTTGTGGTGGTGTGTAAAGTCGTCTCTGGTGTTCACTAATACGGGGGGGTGGGGGGGATATTTAACGTAATAATTTTTATAGGAATCTCAGAGTTTAGGGAGCTTGGCTGTAGGCTACGTCTTTTGTATATAATGATTATGCTGTTTGAATGTTATTACTATTATTGGTGGTGGTAGTAATTATTTATTATTATTATTATTATTATTATTATTTTTATTATTATTATTAGTAGTAGTAGAGTGTTGTGTTTTTACTACTACTACTATTATTATTATTATTATTATTGGTGTTCATATACGTTTTCGTGATTTGCTGTAATTACTAGTATTATTAATATTTTGTGTGGGTTATGGAGAAAATTATTTTTTCAGTGTTTTAATTTAGGATGGTACATGTTACGGTATTATTGTTATATAAGAAAATACGAATGTCATGAAGATTAGGAACCCCCTGTTTAATTCTCCATCCAGCCATCCATCTATCCATCCATCCATCCAGCCATCCAGCCATCCAGCCATCCATCCAGCCATCCATCCAGCCATCCATCTATCCATTCATCGATAGAATTTGTGTTTTTGATCATGTTAAAGAACTCAGGTGCCGGAGGATTTTATTTTTAACTCTACCACAATTTTAGTTTAAAGTAGAGAAAGAGACGTGTATACTGAGGAGCAGAGAGAGAGAGAGGTAGACGAAATTGATTAGAAAGAGAATTAGTATGAAAGGTGATAAGAGAGAGGAAGGGAAAGAGAGTTGGGAAGAGAGACAGGGAGATAGAATTAGATCACATGAGAGAAATACTGAAATAGATTGACACACACACACACACACACACACACACACACACACACGTACCGTCACCCTACCTGAGACACACTTTAAGACAGTGATGAAGGGGACAGGGAGGTGGTGTTGGCGGCTTACCCCTTATAAGACGCCAACAATTATACGTAATTATACGCCAACACCGACCTGTTTCTCTCTCTCTCTCTCTCTCTCTCTCTCTCTCTCTCTCTCTCTCTGTCTCTCTCTCTCTCTCTCTCTCTCTCTTTCTTCTTTCTTCACGTTCTTTCACTTTTCTTCGTTCTCTTTCTTTCATTTTACTATTTTTTGTTTTCTCCTTCGCAGCAGAAAGTGAGATAGGAGAGAGTGAGAGAGAAATAGAAAGTGAGACAGGAGAGAGTGAGAGAGATATAGAAAGTGAGACAGGAGAGAGTGAGAGATACAGAGAGAGAGACAAAGAAAGTGTTATAGAAAAGAGAAACAAGAGAGAGGGGGGTGAGAGACAAGAGAGATACACCACGGAGAGATAGAGATAGATACATATGTCTCTTTGTCACCACCACTGGCTTAAGGACACAACCTGGCAGATAACATGAAGGTTATGTGTGTTTGTTCGCTATTCTTCCTCCCTCTTCTCTTCCTCTTCTTCCTCATTCTCCTCCTCTTCCTCCTTCCTCTCTTCTTATCTTCCCCCCACCTTTCCTCCTCCTTCCTCTTTCAACCATATTCTCCTCCTCCTCCCCACTGTCATCTTCTTCCTCCCTCTCACTCTGTCACTCCCTTCCTCCTACACCTCCTCCCCCACTCCGTCCCTCTCTTCCTCCTCTACTCCTTCAAGATCCTGAACAAGTTCCATTAAGAAGCTTCCTGGTGGTGTTTGTGGCTGTTACTCCTTCCTCAAACGTGTCCTTCTTCCTCCTTCTCTCCCTCCTCCTACTTCTCCCTCTTCCTCCCTTCTCCTACTTCTTCTCATCTCTCTTAGTACTAGTTCTTCCTCCTCTTACTCCTTCTTCTTCCCCTCCTCCTACTTCTCCTTCTTCCTTCCTCCTTCTACTACTTCCACCTCTTACCTCCAACTTCTCCCTACTCCCCTCCTTCCTTCCTATTACTCCTTCTATCTTCTCCCTCTTACTACTCCTCCGCCTCTACTCCTCGTCAGACATGCCTCACTCTTCCCACGTTCCTTCCTCCTTCTTCCTCCTGGTGTTTGTGTGTGGTGTGTGTGTGTGTGTGTGTGTGTGTGTGTGTGTGTGTGTGTGTGTGTGTGTCCGTCTTAATATAACCCACCGCGAACTCATTTTGATTTAGACAGGGGTTTGTGTACGTCGATTGATGGTCTCTTTGTGGTAGGTCAGTCCATTCTCTATTCCTGGAGAGAGAAGGGAGGGTGGGGGATGATGAGAGGGAGGGGGAAGAGGGCCAGGAAGGAGCGGAAGTGAGGGGGGTAGAGGGACGATGAGAGTGAGGGGAGGAGGTGGAGGGTGAGAAAAGGAGGGTGAGGTGGGTGATGGTGAGGAGAAGTGTGGGGTGATGAGTGAGGGGGTGAGGAAGATGAGTGAGGGAGAAGGTGGAGGTGAGAAGATGAGTGGGGAGGGTGAGGAGGGTGATGAGAGTCAGGAAGGAGGGTGAGGGAGGAAAGAAGGGAGGAGAGTAATCCAGCCTAATCTAACCTAACTTAATCTGACCAAAATACCTAACCCTTCCCCTCCCCAC